ATTTAACAGTAAAATCCAAATTCGGCCTATATAACTTACGTTTTTCACATTGGAAACGCTATTACTACGTACATACATGTGTACAATGTACCCGTTTTATATTAGTATAATGATACAGACAAGTGACAGGCCATTCTAGTGTGCCAATACAAGAAGGAATGGTTTATTACTACGGAGTGAATTGTTGGTGTTAACATTTCATTAATTAGTATGGATGTTTTATGTATTCATAATTTAAAAGTTAAGACAGTGGAGGGGACAAGTTTAGTAGTTTACTGTTTGTGATAGTTATGGGATAAGGGTCCAGAAGCTGAGTAGAAAGTGATATCGTACCATAAAATTATCATTTTAAAGGCATCAGAAGGGTAAGATATAAATAGGTATGGGGTCATTCTGAGGGGTTGAGATGTAAATAGATGTGCAAGTCATTTAGAGGAACTGGTGTATAAATAGGTACATGTATGAGGTCATTACTGGGGTAAATGGTCTAATGAGTTGGTCAGTTGCTGGTATTAATATATTGGTTTAGTTATACATTCTGATCTATTATTAGACACGACCCTTGTATTTAGTACTAGGTGGTTTCCCTATTTCGTATTCAGAAGTAGCTCTATCTTTAGTTTATCTTGTCTTAAGTGAATTATATTTAGTAAATGGTATCGTTGACTAAGTTAAGTATGGCTTTGAGTATATTAAGTATATGATGACAATATTTTAAAATAGTAGTACATAAAAAGGGGTTGTTAGGGAGTTGAAGAGAGAGTTTGTTGAGAATTGAGAGTTAATAGAGAATGGAGAGTCGATTCAGAAAGGAGAGTCTTGAGAGAATTCTGTAAAAAAAAAGATGAACGATGAGTCGGAGAGTAATATGTTTACTTGGGAGGAGTCTCGTAGAATGATTTTGTAGAGTGTAGAGTTAACGTTTTAGAAGTTAGTTGAAGTAGTGTAAACTTACGGGCCGATTGGCGAGTGGTTAGCATTTCGGACTTCCACGCAGGCGGTCAGGGTTTGATCTTCGAAGTCGTCGCACGCGTGAAATATCCAGAGAAAGTATTTTTCTCCTGCCCACACAACTCCAACAACCCGGTTGGATTCTAAAATGGTCTGGGGTGGATGTTGCGGTATCTGTACTGANTCTGAATCATACAACTAAGGTGACACTATATATAAATGATGCCGTTGGAAGCACGGTCCCACTACAAACAGAACACAATACATCTCCAGCACACACGTAGGCATACACACATAGGGAGATATTAGCCAGGTGGCATAGGTCAAGTATTTAGCGCCTGATGAGGCAGCTCCTGCGAATTCCTCAAAATTGTATTGATTGATATATATGCTAATTATATTAATTGTATATCTATGTACTGTAAAACGCTTATGAGTGGTTATGTTAGCTAGATAGGGTGCTATATCAAATGTTGTATATTAATATTATTATTATAATCATCTTCAGTTATTTAGTTCTTTTACTTTTGAGTGACATTTTCTAACTTCCAACGTTTGTCTTAACTATTAAAAGGAATTTCAATCGACTTCATTCTATCTCAAATAGGATATTATAAACAAGGTTAAAACAAAGTGCGTTAACTTTGCTTTGGTCATACAATTTACTCCTGGAAACCCTTCTATCTAACAGTTTACTGGAACTTGTGGCAAGTACTTTGATTTAAAAAAAATTCTAATGAAACTGAAGAAAACTTTATGAAAACTTGTATGTTGTGTTTTTATCAATTGTATTTGTCAGACAGACTGAACCACTGGATTATTATAAAGCATAGAGAAACAAATATATACAGCAACAGCAATGTCATGTCAGAAATGGAAACGTAACATTACCCAGTAGCCGGACCTCCTTTATGCCAGAAGGCAAAGAAAGACAACCATAGACTTCGGGTATACCCTGGCTATCAATTCCAAGAATTAAATATGCAATAATATGCATGCATGGCTGTCATTATTTACAACCAGGGTATCTAAGCATATAAATATCGGCATTCGAAAGAATGATATTGATTAGAGATAGGCTAGATATATCCCGGAAATGCTGGTCATGAAAGATAACGAAATCTGATTGAATACATTTTGCACACCTCTAGATTTATCTTAGATATCAGTAGGGCGTTTAAGCCCATACATTGATCAAATCCTCTAGATTTATACGACCTTTACCTACATACACACAATCACTTATATCATGTCGATTATAGTCATATTCTGCCAATAACTCATACTTTATTATTTACCAATGATATACCATTCACCCCCAAAAAATATCTATTAAACCCTTACCCTTATTCATGCATTTACAAATTTCTTTTTTAACTTACCATCATTACACTACAGTACCTACCTATATCATACCACACTATAGTATTTACCTATATCATACCATTTACTACAGTATTAACCTGTATCATACCATTTACTACAGTATTTACCTATATCATACCATTTACTACAGTATTTACCTATATCATACCATACTACAGTATTTACCTATATCATACCATTACTACAGTATTAACCTATATCACACCATTTACTACAGTATTTACCTATATTATACCATTTACTACAGTATTTTACATATATCATACCATTTACTACAGTATTTACATATATCATACCATTTACTACAGTATTTCCCTATATCATACCATTGACTACAGTATTTACATATATTACACCATTTACTTCAGTATTTTTCCCATATCATACCATACTACAGTATTTACCTATATTATACCATTTATTACAGTATTTACCTATATCATACCATTGACTACAGTATTTACCAATATCATACCATTTACTACAGAATTTACCTATATCATACCATACTACAGTATTTACCTATATCATACCATTTATTACAGTATTTACCTATATCATACCATTACTACAGTATTAACCTATACCACACCATTTACTACAGTATTTACCTATAGCATACCATTTACTACAGTATTTACCTATATGATACCCTTTACTACAGTATTTACCTATATCATAGCATTTACTACAGTATTTACCTATATCATTCCATTTACTACAGTATTTACCTATATCCTACCATTTACTACAGTATTTACCTATATGATACCCTTTACTACAGTATTTACCTATATCATACCATACTACAGTATTTACCTATATTATACCATTGACTACAGTATTTACCTATATTACACCATTTACTACAGTATTTTTCCCATATCATACCATACTACAGTATTTACCTATATCATACCATTACTACAGTATTAATCTATATCACACCATTTAATACAGTATTTACCTATATCCTACCATACTACAGTATTTACCTATATCATACCATACTACAGTATTTACCTATATCATACCATTGACTACAGTATTTACCAATATCATACCATTTACTACAGAATTTACCTATATCATACCATTTACTACAATATTTACCTATATCATACCATTGACTACAGTATTTACATATATTACACCATTTACTACAGTATTTTTCCCATATCATACCATACTACAGTATTTACCTATATCATACCATTTCCCACAGTATTTACCTATATCATACCATTTGCTACAGTATTTACCTGTATCATACCCTTTACTTCAGTATTTACCTATATCATACTATTTACTACAGTATTTACCAATGTCATACCATTTACTACAGTATTTACCTGTATCATCCCCTTTACTACAGTATTTACCTATATCATAACATTTACTACAGTATTTACCTGTATCATAACCTTTACTACAGTATTTACCTATATCATACCATTTACTACAGTATTTACCTGTATCATACCCTTTACTACAGTATTTACCTATATCATACTATTTACTCACCTTTTATCACTTAAACCCTGATTTACCAATATGTTTTCATTCACTAACAGTTAACCATTTACCTGTATTATTTCATCTATACCCACATCCAAACACTTACTCTTACTTACAGTAACCGTCTGGATACTGAGAGGCACTTTTCAAAGACAATGAGTTTTTTTAAATATATATATAACTAGCTGCGAATTATTTACTATAATTTGCAAAAAAGGGAAATAACTCAAACTGCCTTACCGTTGTACATCGACGAAATTTACAGCCATTCCGAATTGATCGTAGCAAATCTCCGAACAGTTGATACCACCTCTTTGAAGTTCGAGATGCTACTATGTGTGTGAGGGATAACGTTACCCAACAAATAAAAGTAGAAAATAAAGACAAGTTTTCAAAAGTTCAACGAATTGTGAAAACATGTAGCATCAACTATTGGATAGTTTTACTTGGTCTAACAAAAAGCTCAGATATTTCATGAAGTAAGTAAACAATCATGAGTCATTTAAAGCTTGTAAGAAACTGAACAGAGGTGCAACATCAACTAAGACAAAAAATCCCTATCTCAATACGCTTATGTTGGCACAAACCTGAGTCTTATATCGTTGTCGATGGCCTTTGTCGCCTTTACATATCCTTGTGTTCGCCTGGGAAAAAATGTATCACATAACATGAAAACTCGTGAGAAAAAAGATCACAAGAAATATAAAATTTAATGCAGCAAACCTTCATGTTTCAATTAGGTCATTTCAGCTGTGATGCTGCACTCTCCTCATCTAGATATAAACAACCAGAAAGAAGCGCTAGTTCCAGTTCTCAGAATGGTTAGTCAATAAAACCCAACATTTCAGTATTCATAATATGGTAGCTTCGTCTTTAAAATTATGACGGGTTGTGTCACCATGAAATGTAATCTGTACAACGTCAAATAGCGATTCCCCACAGTACAATGTAATTGATACAACCCTCAAACCAATTCCACCTGATGGGAAACAACAACTCTCAGATGTTAGGCCTTCCTTAAAAATAATCAGCAGGTCGGAGGTCTAGTAATTTACAAAACAAACGAGTATATCGCTATCTTAGTGTGTTTCTAAAGGTGTACTTCTACTAATGACAATGTCCGCAACTCCGGGTTACTTGGGGTCGGATTTCGGACCATGGAAATGTCGTCTTCGTTGAATCCATTTGTTACGTCCAGTTTCAGTTATCTGATAACGTGTAACAGCCGTCTGCAGAGCATCAACACCACGCAGTGCATTGATCTATTGCATTAACTATGATACAGATCGCAGTACAAAACTTTGATGTACACATTTAAGGCACAAAATGGAGCAGTTTCACAGTATTTACCAGATACTACTCTTACTATTATATCAGTACGGCGTCTTACATGTTCTGTGTATTGATTTTGGAGTAAGTTTTAAGTAAAAGATGTACTCTCCGAAATATGTATCTCATCAATATATTTAAACCATTTTTGTTTTATTCCTGAAACACCAGGGCAACTGCGTTTGAAAAGCTCAAGTTATATTGTTCAACTCTCATGAAATTTTATATAACGTCCGTTTCACATTACAAATTAAGCGACATGTATATTTTTTACAAAAAAAGTTTCAATGAAACTAAAACATTTTTTCAAGCAGTTGCAAATATATTTATGGTTCCTTATTAAATCATACTATATAGCTAGTACTTCAATATTTCATTTTGTTTTTGCTTTTGTTAATGGGGCCATTTAGTCAAATATGACTCTTGAAATTGATTAAATACTGAAAATGTAAACCCCCTAATGAAACTAATAAGTTTACAATGACATGACTTGAAGCCAATGTCCAGTGTGGTCAGTTTTTCGTTGGAGAAAGTCGGTAATCAATATAGCTATGTGTACGAAAGGAATAGCGTTTCATTGAGAAGTACCTCGCTGTAAACCGACAACATAGTGTCAGTAAGTCTGACTTCGCACAAAACGCATGTTTGTCGCTTTTGATTTACACAATAGATCGCAAGCAAAAATTATAAGTATCGTTATTTATAAATCTAATGAGATATTTGTATTCGCAGTTGGATTCGAATAAAAAGAAATTAAATTAGCTGGAGTATGTACAAAGTACGAAATCAGTAGATACTACTACTAATAATAATAATTAACTTTATCTAATGAGGATAAAATACATGTTTATCAAAAGGCTAATCTTCCACATGGTCACATGGTAGAGGTTAAAACTAAAATATATTTCTCATTTATAGCGATGATTAAAATGTTGTTTGGAATACGCCGTTAATTCAGAATAAAAAAAAAAGAAAAGCTTGTTATTATACGTTCTGTTTCTATTTCCTTTCCTGTTGCCAGATAAATCTGTCTTTGCTGCTACAATTCCAATGATGTGTTGTTTTTTATAGGTAAAGTTTTATTCGAAAGTCGTTACACTATATATGTTTCTTTCATGAACCATTTGGGGTTTTCAATGACATATGTATCTACTGATTGTTCGCTTATAGTTTTCCATGTTGTTAATTCTAAGTCATAACACATAAATTAACTGCACAAAATATTTTGTGATTATCCAAGATATTTCCCACTATTTGCAATTTAATTATAAATAAGATTACGAATCTAAAAAGTATTATTTTTTTTATTCAAATTCAATGATTTATATATCAAAACAGAAATTGTTAAAATATGACAAAAGAAAACAACTGAAAATTACACCCAAATGATAATCCTTATCTTTGATGTCTTCAGATTATTCAGATCATATCATCCATGTCCTCAACTTTCCATTGTAGATTCAGGAAATGATGTTTAAATGTTGTATTCTGGGTAATCGTACTGATACTTGTTGCCCATAATGCGTCAAGCGAACCATAATAGGACGGAAACATTATTGACATCATTTTGTAGTATCTTATTTAAATGTGTTTGATATACATGCGTTCTATAACCATGCATGGTGACACCGCGGATTTATATGAAGGCCTGAAAATAGTGATAAATGCATACCCCGAACAAAAAAAGACGTTTCACAAAAAAAATATTAAAATAAGATTAAAAAGAGATATAAATGAATTTAATGGCATGCGCTACTGTATACATATATATATAACATTGATTAATTGAAGAAACAAAAAGTAAATAAAAGAAATCGTAATTGATCTGGCATAAAATATTATGATTTCTGATATGGACTGTACAGCTTTGGAAGTCTCGCTTTGCAATTTAAAAATATTTGACAATTTGCTTATTTCTCCGTGTAAAATTACTTTGTTACTGATATAATTTCACTGATTAGAAAATTTAAAGACTGTAATATAAGATAGATATCTCATTTGATAATTTATTTATTTATATAACTTTATTCATTTTCATGTAAAGGGATGTTCTAGACCCATTTCCCGCCCCCTTGACCAGCCAGTTTAAGACGCTAATTAGTGGAAGTGAAACCCTGACAAGTGCGCGCTCTTTTGTGTGACGTCATACGCACCCAGCAACGACAAACAATATGGCCGCCAAGGGTCAGCTGTAGATCGAGTTGTGAATGGTCGCGTGTCATTGTGTATCGAATGGCGCCTGACTGATATCCGGGAGTGATTACTAACATGTCTGACTGTATACAAAGCCTGACAGACATTACAGAGAACCCTGAAGTTCTGATTTTATTTCGGCAGTGATTTCTGTCGATTGGGCACAGATTTCTCGACAAGATGGCGGGAAGTGGGGGTGCTCTAAATCTCTCACTTCTCAGCCGTGGTGTTGGCGAGGTTTCTAAAAATGGACACGAGAAAGTCGAAGTTCTGTTCGAGCCACAGGTAAGTTTATTGGGTAACATTATGTCTGACGAAAATGTTGTCGACATTTTGAAACAACAGGAAGTGAAATCATCATTCATTTTAGGCGCATTACAATATGTCAAAAGTTCATTTTGCACTTTTATTTTTGTATTGTTTATTTCATGCAAACAGCGTTATTGAAGCTCGATTCCTGTCCCTTAATGGTCCACAATGCCACTACATTTCTCTTTAACTTATAGATTGCATTTCACAACTTTAAACACCTATACAATGCCAGTGTTTACAAGGTAAACCAGTTCTGTTGACTCTCTTACTACTGAAAACATTATCACCTAGTATTAAATATTGAATTGTGTCATCACAATTTCAGTGTTGAAGATTATATCATGGTGTTATAACATAAACCAGCTCCACGTGTGCACAAGTAAATTACACAATGGAGCAAAAATGCATGGAAACTCCCACTCTATATAACACCTCCTCCCAAAAACAAACACTCCCCCAACTGCCAACCCCAGCTCATTGTTTTGAAAAGAAAGTGTTTCGGGGTTTGGTACTGCAAAGAGGATTTTTTTTTGCTGTAACACAGACGATTTTTATTTCATTTTTTAGGGGAGTGGGGATTTACAAGTGGCACAGACAATTTGGTACTCAGCTGTTTCAATATTGAGATGTTTTATTACTTTTATAGGACATTCTGTTTAACTTCTCAAAAGTTTGTTGGAATATTTTATATGATTTTTGACACTTTGACTAACTTTTAAACTTCAACCTTTTTTACCTTTTGTGTGCTGTGTGTTGCTGATTTTCTAAATTTCAAAAATGTTAAGCATTTTACGTCTTTACTAAAAAGTACTAAAACAACAGGTCCTGAAATGACTAGGATTTCGGCAAAGATCCATTGAGTTGGAAAATATACTGTGTACCATGAATAAAACTAAACATGGTATATACTTTAGTTAATTAGACAGTCATCTTTGTCAGATAGTCTTATTAACAAAAGTTGAAGTTGGTATATCTGAGCGAAAATTATGAAAACTTTACCAAAGATATACAAATGTATTGGAACTTGGAAAGGAACTGATCTTATTAAAACGCACAGGTGTCGCCTCTCTATAAACATTCATGTTTATCATAAGTACCAATGATATTGTTTCAACTTGACACAACAAAGCTGCATATATATATATACTGAAACTTGATCTGTTTTGGTATTTTAAATTTTTGTCATGCCCTTTTCAAAAGTTATATTACCTCACTCCCTAATGTATGTTTACAGGAATATTTTCACATAAGCCATTTGTGCATGCATATATATCTACAGCAGAGTTCAGTAATTAGTCTCGGAAGTCTGTGTAGTTCATACCAATATATCATGTACAGATTTGATCAGACTCAACCCGCTATTGTTGTCATTCAAGCTAAAAGATTTTAAAGATTTCCTGCGTCACTACATTGTTTTAACGGTATTTTTTATTACATGATGATATGTATAATGCTTACAGAGCAGGGTATGAAATACAAATAAGGATAGGCTACAAAATTATTTAAACAACTACAATCTTATCATAATTTAAAAGAAAAACAAAGTCATGCACTATACATCAGTACTGTTATCAAAATAGGTAAATCCTTTTAGGAGTGTCGCAGTGTGTCGTTAATTAGAAAATCGTGTAAAATGAAGCCAGATTACCTAATCGTAGCAGATTCCGATTGTTCTGAAAATTATTTTTGAGTTCAAGGTGTCTATCTCTTAATTAGCACTTGATATCTAATTAGAGAGATAGTATGCTTTTATTGATTTGATTATAAGGTAATTGTGTCTGTTAGAGTTCAAGAAATTATATTGAAAATTAATTAAATTAGTCACTAAAACCATATTTCGGGAGCATTTAATTTTACAAGCCCTTGTCTATACATAGTCTGCAGAATCTCCTAGAAGAGATGAAAGTACTTAAGACTTATTGTTGAGAATTTTTCTTTTTATAATAAAGGGCTATATATATATATTATGTAAGGACCAGTGATTTTTTTAATATATATATACTATGAAAATGTAGATTGCTTCATAAGCAAGTGATTTCTTTTTTATCTGCCTGTAGGCTAATACTTTGATATGAAATTGTACACCCAGTGTTTGTTATATTTTTTTTATCATAATTCACCCGTTATTAGTAAAAGTTAAGTGTTTAGTGTTACATAGATATATATTTCATCTGATTTAAATATAATTTGGAATATTTTCCTGCAAAAATTAACATGATAGCTATTAGTGGTATAACTGAAGGAAATAATTTATATATTTATTCAAGGCACATTTAGCATATTTTGGGCTCTGGTGAGCTTACAATTATATGTATTTTGATACTCAATGATAATATGTGTTAGACCTAAAAAAACATCCTTAAATAATTGTATACCCGAGGTAGTTCTATAGTTTACATTACTTATCCCGGGGTAGACCTGTGTAAAGTATTGTATGTGTCAACATACTTCTATATATATCTATATTAATATACTGACATGTTAGATTGTGTATGTAAAGTTCTAAGAGCCATATTGGACAGCTAGGCCAGTGTACTCCTGCATATTTGTTGACAGTAGAACCTTGATTGATGAGTTGTACTCGGATCGTCTTCCTTTTCAATAACACTTACAATATTGTACGGTAGATTTTTGAAAGATTTCACTTCAATTAAGTAAATTTTATATTCTCGCATATTTGTATCCAAACAATACAGTAAAACCCCTATATAATGCCCCTCACTGCCAACATAATTTCAAGGTCACTTTAATTTTTCCTAAGGAATCTTTTATACATTTCCCTCCATTTATCACCAAACCCCTTTAAAATACCAGCATTTATCTGGACAAATTGTGGCAGTATAACAAGATTTTACTGTGTTTGTGTTAGGAATCAAATTGCAAATTAGAAAATTACAAGGAAACATTTTCCTTCATTTATTGCTCTAACCTCATTATAATGCCAACGTTTTACTGGACAAATAGTGGCACCGTGACAGTATGAGGTTATGTTTTTGTGTACAAGTATCGTTGTGCAGAAAAATATTTTGTTGTCTTTCTGAAGGCAACGGATCTGGGTTAGTAACATAGTATTATAATGAATCAGATGAATGCTTTACAAACCTAAATCATATTTATTCTTTATTAAGTTTGTTTGAGGTGGTGTATGATACAAGTTTAGGTATACTATTTATAAGGTTGAAGTTCTAAGCTATAGAATTAGTAGAGAGGATTATCAATTGTACTATAGTCGTTAGTCCACTTTGTATTGGCTATAGGTTAGCAGACTGGTGTTGTGCCTGTCCTTAGGGAGTCTTACATGTACACTCTGTGTGTTTATATTTTATGAACCTTTACCTGGTTTTAATTGTATGTGGTGCATTATAAATTACATACTTGCCAACTGTTTGAAATTTCCATGGGGGACATTCTGCATCCTCATTATTAAAACATAATTAAAATGTGTGTATATTTATACCCCCTTGTGATAAAATGACCCTTTTAAATGACATATTTTGAATTGTTCTTTCATGTGAAATCATTAGATCTTAGACTATAGGAATAGTTTAGCAAATTCACTGGTTGAAAACACTAAATTTAAGGGTCCAAAACCAGTAGTCTTCCTCCTAAATAGGGAGAGTTGGCAAATTTGTAAATATATATATGTTTACATATTACATACATATTACATATTATATATTAAATAGTAAATTTTATAGATTAAAATATTATTTGCATTTTATTTTGCCCAAATGATTTATTGTCAGATCCACAGGCGAATTATATGTTTTAATTCCTTTGCTGACTATAAATCCAGTTTATGATTAGGAATAGATGTTTGCTGTTGAAAGAATTTCCCAAAAATGTTTTTCAATAATTCAATTGATTTCAATTTACATCCCAGGCTTTGGGCAGTATGTTACACACTGGATAATTTACATTCGACATGACTCTAAATTTTGCCAACCTCCATGGGGGTATTTCTTTATCCTAATTTGAAAATTAAAAAATCCCCCTTTATTGAATTTTAAAGAACCCAACAGAACTCATTAACAATACCTTTGCCACTAAGTGTTGTCATAATAATCAATTATATATTCAGTGATCTGCAATTGAATAATGTCAGGTTTGAGACAATCAGTTATACATTATCATATTGGATTATGAAAAAGTTCATATAACGGTGTCATGTAGGCAGTATTATCGGTATATAAAGTATATACCGATAACACTAAGTATATATCGGTATATAAAGCCAGCTGTTGGCTATGTGCCACCTATTACTCGTTTGTAAGCTAACTGGTTGCATTTCCTTAAATTTGGAGCGTCCGTGTCTCCTTACATACATGTGTCTGTGTGCCTGTGCTGAAACCAATGCTGAAACTCAAAGTGACAGTGGCCGTAGACAAATTTTGGGAAAATATTGGTTTTCAGATATATGCTATATATTGAACAATATCGTCAGATCTTTTTAAAACTGAACTTGAAAATGTGATGCCCTTTAGACAGAGGATTAATTAGAACCAAATGGATTGTTTATGTGGGGTTACTGATATTAGTCAAAGGTCTAGATCACTGTAGTATTAGAATCTGAAATTTTGTAAAATAAAAAAATAAATGTTTGTGGATAATATATTTTTAGATCATTTATTTATTCTATATAAGCCCCCTTTTGGGTGAACAATGTCCACAGGGAAGAGGAAGAAGGCCAATCAATTTCGGTGTCACTTTAGGTCATAGGTTTACGGTCACAGTGGCTTTAAATAGACAGAAATTTTAGTAAAGTGTTAAGGTTTCCAAATGTCATCTCCTGGACAGATAGTTATAATACATCATTAATCTAAGCCAAACTGGAATGGTTAATGCCCCTTGCAAAGATCTATACAAAAATCCTTATAAATTGAGTTTAGGGTTAACGTTGCAAGGTCAAAGGCCATGGTCACATTACCTAACTACAAATAGATTGAACCTTTGTCAAATGATGAGTTATTTAA